CGGCCAGACGGCCAGCCGGGCCGCCAGGCCGGCCACAAGCAGAGGCTAGAGGCTCCGCGCACTTTCACTACGACTAGCCGCGGGACGGGACGGGCCGAGTCCTTGCCGCCTGCCTCGCTTGCCGCGCCACACACCAACACACACACAGTACGGAGTGACGGAACGGGTATGCGATATGCTTTTCCCATTCGGCCCCCTCGGCCCCGAGACACCAGGCCGGGCCACTCGAAGGCCTGCACGGCCTGCACGGCCTGCACGGCCTGCACGGCCTGCACGCGGCCCCGCGGTAAATCAATTCCCAGCAACACCTGATAACGGCACTCGGCCGAAAGTCCCGAAGTGAGGGGCCAGGCCGGCCAGGCCGTTGGCCGTCCCCGCCCACTCCACCTGCCCAGTGCCTCCAGTGCCTCCAGTGCCCGCTACAGTGTGCCCACTGCCCTTCGGCCGCCGCCCTTCACGCCGATTCTCGGAGCGCGGCTTCGGCTTGGCGGCGCGGGCAAACCCGGGGCGTGCGCTCCGCGCCAGGTGCCAGGTAACGCCAGGCGCACCAGGGCTGTGACGAACGCGTCTTCACCAGCCCGCCGACCGGTCGCTTCGTCGCCCCGTCTCTCTCGCACCCCCACGGGGCCCACAGGGCGCCACACGAGTGCGAGAGAGACGGGGCGACGAAAGCATGCGGTTCGGCCTGCAGCGGGTCACGGCGCGGGGGCAGCGCCAGGCTTATGTCACGGCGGCGCGTCGCTGCAGTCGCGGCAGTCGCGGCGCGGGGCTGTTCGTAACGCTCATGTCAGGTAGATGGATGGATGGATGGATGGATGGATGGATGGATGGATGGATGGATGGATGGATGGATGGATGGATGGATAGGCAGGTTGTGCGCGACTCCTCCGCAGTCAGCCAGACATACAGACAGGCGGGCCGGAAAAAAAGCTGCTTCAATTTCCCCTCCGGCACGTCGCGCGTCGCGTCGGGTGTACAGTACACTACGTAAGTGTACAGTGTACAGTACCCCCAGCCCCTCCACCCCTGTGCACAATGAGGCACGTCATACAAGAAAGCGCGGCACGGATTGGTTTCAAGCGGCGACAGAAAACGAATTTCTGCTGGCTGAGGGTCTATAGGGTGTGGTGGGGTGGCCCTGACCCCGAGTCGCCAACAAGGGACGGCGAGTAGGGCTAGCAGCAGCAGCAGGGCCAGAAGGGCGGCCCAACAAAACAGTCCCGCACAAGGCCGCCGCCTGTCCGCTGTCGCAACGGCCATTGTTTCATATTTTATTCATTTCATTATTTCGCTGTTTCCATCGACCGCCATCGCCGTCACCGTTGCACTTTCATAACCGTGATCGTGCGAAAGGCGTCCTTGGGGCCCGGGACCGGGACGACCAGGCCGACCAGGCCGACCCGGATGGCGGCGCTCCGATAACACGCCGCCGTGTCTGGCCAAACCGACAGCGCCGAGGCGTAGCGGCGTGCATCGACTGCATCGCCCCGCAAACGCTCTGCGAACGCTCGCTGCAACGCTCTATTGACGACGCCGACGGCGTTGAGTCCAAACTCGGGCGGAGCGTGGAGGGTGTGGCGGGGCGTAGTGGGGCGTGGTGGGGTGTGGCGGGGCAGGCCGAGGCGCGCGCAGCCTTGACAACTCGGGAAGATACGCATCAATAAATCGGCCGTAAAGGCGAGCGTCGTGGCGCGGCGTGCGGCGCGCGGCGGAGCGGCAGTGCTTTAGGCCGCCAGTGGCGGACCACCCTACAAGGAGCCAATTGCGTCCAATTGGCCAATCTCGTACTTACGCAAGAGGGTGATCACCATGCGCGGGGCACGGGACACTGGGCAGCGAGGCAGCAGCGCGCCAACGCCGGCCAAAGCCAGCGGCAGGGCCGCCCCCCGCCCCCCGGCCCGAACCTGCAGCCAGCCTGCCAGCGCGTCTCTGGGCGACGGCGACGTCGAGAGAAGCCTCCGCCGTGTGTGCCGACGGTGCCGACGCGGCCCCTAAAACCGGCGCCCGCACCGCCACCGCCGCGCAAAGGGCGCCATGCCTTTCCCTTGATAAAAGCACTTGAACCCTTATGCAACGCCCGCCGACGGCTTGCCGACGGCCTGCCTGCTGCCACCTCTGGCGGGCGGCACCGCGGCACCGCGGCGGCATCGCACCGCCACTTTCCAAAAGCACCCAATCACTGCGCCAAACTCTGCCGAGTCAGACCGCCGCGCCGCGCCGCGCCGAGTGGAGTGGAGTGCGACGCTTACGCGGCACGTCGCCGTCCCCGCCTTGTCGTCCCGCCTCCCTCGACGGCGTCGCTTTCCGCGCCAATCACGGTCCAGTCCGCCCGCCCAGCACGCCAAGCAAGCACGCTGCTTTTCGTCTCCTTCCTCTTCTTCTTCTTCTTCTCCTCGGTCGTCTGGACCGCCACGCGACGGGTTAGATAAAAGGCCATGATGCAGTCTGTCACGATGCCCCCCCCCCCTTTTCAGCTCCCCGCTCGGACGATAGCATCGGGTCATCAAGCTAAAGGGGACATCAAAAGCCAAGCCTCGCCTTCCCGAGGAGAAGAAAGTGGAAACTCTCCGCGATGCGCTATTCGCCGCCACGCGCCGTTTCCACGGATCGCGCCGTATTCAGTGCCGATTTGCTTTAGGCTCCGGGTGTGTACTACAGTGGCGTCGCAGCGTCGCACAGTGCCTCGGTTCGAGTCCAAATCGGGGTGTACGCGCGGACCAGGCGGTCCATGTAGGAGTTGGAAGCGCGCCGTCCGACGGGTGAATCACAGCGCGAGGGGCCAGGCCAGCCTTGGGCCAGTGCGTCGTCGCTGTCTCTCTCGCACCCATAGGGCGTCCCGTAGGCCCGTGGGGAGCGACGACAGGCCGACCGGGCCTGGGGAATTCGGCGGCCAAAAGTTATTGGTCCAGCCGCAGGATGGCATCCCGCAGCACCCAGCCAGCCAGCCAGCCAGCCTCACCCACGTCCAAACAAACGTCCGGCCCTCGGCCCCTCCGACACAATACACAGCCCGTCCCGTAGTCCCGTCCGGCCAGAGTCATTAGGTTTTTGATCCCCCTGTAAGCTGTGGCTCGCTCCTTGTTCCACCGCCTCCCTTTGTCCACTCGCTCCTCATCTTATTTTCAATCCTTCCATCCCGCCTGGCTACGCGCTACGTGTACTGTACGCCCCGCCAGCCGATCCGCCCCGAGTTTGATTCATTCCCGCGTGCATATGGTGGCCGACAGGTGAGTCAGTCAGCCAGGCAGCCAGCCCACTTGGCAGCACGACACAGCAGTGTAACAGTTTAACAGTGTAACGGCCCCTGGAGTGGACCTTAACCTTCTTCTCCTCCTCCAGGCCGCCCCGTCCGTCAGGTTTGGCCCGCATGCCAAGACGGCCCCGGCCGCCCTGGCCGCCCCGGCCCGGGGGGCTGCAGGCCCACTCCGAGAACTTGCCTTTCTCTCTCGCACTCGAGGGGCGTCCCGTAGGGGTGCGAGAGAGACAGCGCGGCGATCAGGCCGCCGGCACGGCCGCCCCGCCCCCCTTCCCGCCAGCGCCCCGGGGCCCGGGGCGGACTTGGCACATTGTCCCTCCAATAAGTAGTCCGCCGGACACTGGCGCGCCGCGCCGGCGTGTCATTTCGCCAGGATAATGCCAGCGGTGTGCAAGAGTGGCGCCGCGGAGCCGCGGCGAAGCCACCCCGGGGCCTTCCTCGCCGTGGCCGAGGGCGTCGTCGTCTTTTACGAGGACGCCGTCGCACCGGCCGGCCGACTCGGATTCCGACCAGATTAACTCCAATAAAAGCAGCGCGCTGTGATTGGCAAATAACACGCCAGCGGCCGGCCGGCCGGCCTGCCTGCCTATGCGATGCCCAGGATGGGCGACTCCGAAGGAACGCGCCGTCGCTCCCAAAGTCGTCTCTGTCGCTTCGCCTCACTCGCACCTGCACGGGACGCCCCATGCCAAACGACTCTCGGGTTCAGTCTGCGGAGGTGCGAGTGCGAAGGCTTCGTGTCGAAGGGTGGCGAAGGGGGCGCCTAAAGCGCCTCGGGGAGCTTAGCGCCCCCTCCCCCTCCCCCACACGGGAGCCCAGGCTGGGGCACTTGCTTGACCCAGCGTGCTGCCACCGCGGGCGATGACCGGAACAGAAAAGAGGGGGAGGGGGGTGTCCAGTGTAGACCCTGCTAGTCCCTGCACCGCACAACGGTAAACTCACACGGCCCTACGCTGTCATCCGCGCGGCCTTGATTGGCTTGCGAGGACAAAGAGGGAGGCGAGGCCGGTGTGACAGGTGCCCTGGAGGCCCTGGAGGCCCTGGAGGCCCTGGAGGCAGCCCGGGCTGCCAATTTCGTTTCGAAACGCCAGGCGCTCGGCAGGGTGACAAAGAAAATATTTTTTTTAAATCCAAGCGTCGAGGGAAAAAATGGGAAAGGATAAAATGAGACAAAAATCGTTTCAACATATAAGAAGGAGCAATCAAATTAATAATACCATTGCATGACAGGTTGGAATTGAAATACGTGTGTGGTGCAAACAAATGGATTATGTTTCCTCAAAATTTTACATTTCCTTTGAAAAGAAAAGAAACTTTCAGATAGCCAACTTTTTAGAGAAATGCCAGATAATGTAGACAGACTTTGTGACTGTTTCGACGTGAATTTCAGCGGCAGCGCTCCGTGCGGGTTGGGTCGGATCCAGGGGTTTGGCCGTTACACCGACCGTTGGCGGCGGTTACTTTTGAATGTATGGAGGCGTATAAAAGCAGCAAGAACTGACAGCCGAAATCGAGGAGCAGCCAAATTGATAACGGTGGGTAAAGTTCCTGCTGACACCGGCCGACACCAAAACCAGCAACATGTCAACGGCCCAACGGCCGCGGGGGGAGGGGCCGATGAACGCAGCTTTCCCACAGGACTGTACATAACCTCTACTGGAGCGACGCGCAACTCATCCAGCTGTGAGGCACAGCGGCACAGCCGGGCACAGCCCGCGACGAACGGGTTGCTAAGCACACTCACCTCGCGAACGGTGTTTGCTCGACATGGTAGTAGTTGGAGATAGGCTCGTTCTTGATGAGTGAAGACAGGAACTCTTCGGAAACACTCAGCAGACCGTCGTGGTTGGTATTCAATGAAATACCAGCACCAAAACTGAATTTAGCCATCTTGGAAAAAATGTTTTACAAGACTTCAACTTTGTCACAGGGATGAACACTTATTCCAGATCTGCAGAAATCGGTCCGGCAAAGAAAATTTACATGTCCACCACTGCCACAACACGACCGTTACAGCGCGGAGCTCCAACTGACGCCGAGGCCGAGGTAACCAAGCACCAAACAAAGTGTCGGCTCGGCTCCGGCGGTTGTTTGGCGCTGGGGTTATGAAGCGTTCAGCCCGCTCGGAATTCCCTGCACAGGGCTGTCTCCGGTCGAGTGGGCTCAGCGTTCGCGGCAACACACTTTTCGGTTCACCAGTCTCACAGAAAAGAAGAATCCATACGTCCGAACACAACATAAACAATGGGCAGCAGACGTCCACGCATTCGGTACAACCTCCGTGGTCGCCCGCTACGACACGACTGACTCATCCCATTTCCTCCCTCCCTGCCCCTCCCCCTCCCCTGCCCCACTCCCACTCCTACTCCACCACCTCCCAGGACCCCCACCACGACCACCTGCTGCAACGCGGAGCAGACAGTTGAGTTTGAAAGTTTCGGTGCTGCCACTGTAAGCATAACAAACCGCGAATAGCTGGAAAGATTAGGCACTTATGGATAACTTTCGCGTCATATCATGACCATAGGGTGGGCACACTGTGACATTTTCTTTCATAGAATAAGACGTTTGTGTCTCGCTCATTCCGTGGTTGAATGAATAAACCCTCTTAGCTTGAGCGTGGTGTCATTGGTACTCCTTCACCGCGCAATTTGAAACGTTTCAGGGCACTGTGTTGTGTGAGTCGTGTGGTCATGATTTCTCAAATTTCATTGGATGTCAGGTATATTTAAAGACATAAAATAAAACAGGTTTTCCCTTGTATTGTTTAAGTTTAATACAAACAAAAGTAAAAAACAAGAAACATAAAGACATTGACAGAGACAATGTTTGTCTTACCGGACAGTGCAAGTCCTTCAGACATATAGTGACTAGCATCTGTAAACATAAATCACACATCTAAAATTACTCAACAATAAAACATATTCACTTATAAAACAGCTTAGAGGCAAGTCAAAATAAAGATAACTTATGTTAGCAAACGGAGGAATAGACTTTGCGGAACAACTGCAAACTCACTCTTAAGCCAAAATCCATTGATCTATGTACAAACTTTCATTAATCAAACAAAATCCCACCTGGATGTAAGATTGATGAGCAAATCAACACACTTGTAGGATTCACACCAAAAAAAATGGAAGTGCCCAGGCAATACAAGAAAACCATTGAAATAAGTGAATTGATTGTTTTGTGCCTGTGGTCAAATTTGAAGGTACAATCTCATATTCTCATCTTAAAATGTCCATAAACCCTGTAAGATGATTGTTTAGTTCCAGTTCATGAAAATTAAGATTGCATTTGTTTTGATTTGCTCCTCCTTATTTCTACGGGCAACTAGAGTAAATAAATAAATATTATAGCTAATTGTACTATTTTGCATATAATTTATGGGTTCTGCCTTTGGCAGATCTTAGTATTGAACAAATGATAAATGTGTTTGAAGCACACCAAAAGGAAAACCTGCCATTGTTAAATATGTTCTTATATAAAACAACACAAGACATTCACGCGAGTCACTCAAGTGTTTGGAAATGGAAGAAGAAAATTTTGGACAAAAGCCAACATCTGAAAAGTAACATCTGAAATCTTGATCATAATTATCAACAGCTGATTTATGATTCACATGTAAGTGTTTCTACAATATTAATGATGGAAATATACAAAACAAATCAATTTGCTATAGCTGAAATAAAAATCAGCATCATTGTCCCCAACCAAAGTGACATACCTTGTGTCTATTCAATAATTTTAGGAAAATATAGTCTGAAGTAAAACTGGCACATCCCCGATTCATGTTTAATAGCATGAATTCTAGTTTCTTTCTAGAGTTCTTGAAGTAAGTAAAAAACAAATTTCACCTTTAAAAATTTGCTACCTACAACTCACAAGTCCTTCTGGATCAGTTATATTTTAAAATGGGAATTACAATTTTTAGGGGGAAGGGGGGTCTACAGTCTGTCACATATGTGAGTAAGACTTCTTGCTAAAAATTTCTTTTGTTTAAACAATTTTCTCATGGACGGTACTTTTGATGCTACAGCAAAAAGACCTAGGGTGTGTCAAAATGGCATTAGGTATTTCATTTTGAATCCCATAGACACAATTTAGGACACATCCAAAAAGAAAAGAGTGAATAGATGTCACTCAATGCTCCATCAAAACATTGGCCACAACTCCAAGCATCGCTTCAAGACAAATTTATACATTTGCAAATAACTACATATTTCATCGATTTGAGACTAAATTAACTTAAACTAGATTTCTCTACATAAACAGGCAGTCATTTCTTATTTCTAAAGAGAAGGCGTATCTGGCTACTCACACATACAAAGAAAGTAGTGGTTGAGTATGACTTAGATAACTACACTTCAATATTCTGCAAGTCATGCAAGAGCAGATAATATTTGGTCTGACACACTGGAATAAATACAGATATTTTGCACCTCTACAAGCATACTTTGCAATTCATTCAGGAAAAAAGGGTACACTCGTGCAATTATAAATACAAATGACACAAGTTTAGAATTTTAAAACTTTCTATAACTAATGAAAACAAGAAAGTACAGGAATACATAATTTGGGGTGGGTAAATAGAAGAATAGATCAAACACCTTGAACTTAGAAGATTCAGAACTGCAAAGTGGAAGAACATATCATAAAATCCATTCACAAATGCTCTGAAGTTTGATTTTAAACTTCTTAACAATGTACAAAATTTAAATGACTAGACGGAAAATAAATAAAATGTATCTACTCTATAAGCCATTTGAATAACATTCAACAATGAATGCAGTACAGAAATTAACTGTGTTCCAAAACACTGAAGTTGCAAAACATTAAGAGGTCAGACAGACTTGGAAGATTTAACCTTTTCATAAAGAACTCCTAGAGAAAAAATATCATTACCTTCCAAACAGAAATTTAAGACCTGGAATATTATTTATAACTACATAATTCAAAAGCTCTTGCTTATCACAAGTATACCACAAACGGCTGAGAACCTCAACTGAGTGAACCTGAACAGTATATTGTGTCATTCATAAGTTTAGAAAGTCTCCTGCCAACAAGAAGACTCTTAGCCATGAACAGGACAGTCACAGTTCTCATTAACACAGCCAGAGAGTTTTTGGTATAACTATTTCTCTTCACAGCATCAATGTACCCATGGACCTTGTTTGAGTAAATACTGTTATCTATGACTACATATATCACTCTTCTTATTCAATGCCAAATGTGTTGGTTTCCTCAACAGCAAGGAGTAGTTTCTCATAAAGAATTTCAGGAGTAGGATAAGGTGGTAAATCCAAGCGGTTGAAGCATGTATGGGCTCTGGAAAGGAAACAAAAATTTAGAGAAATTAGTCAAGGTCCAGTTTCAAGGAATTTTCCCAACACACTATATGAAAATGGCAAGTACCTTGGCAGGCTATTAGGCTTTCCCCACTTCTCAATACAAAACTTTCTTGGGCCAGTGGAACCTCGAAGAGCTGCAAACCCTTCATATGGGATACTGGATGTCCCAGTCACAAACTGTAATAGCCTTAGTCTTTGTTCATTGCTGAAACGCTCAATAGCAGACCAAAACCACTGCATAACATGATGACTATCATGGTAACCTAAAAAAAAACAACTTTATGTACCAAGATCCAAGTACTCAGGCATCACAAGATTAAAAAGTAAAAAATTAAAAATTGCTTACCAGATCTATATTCAGTATTTTTCCGCCAGTCAGCTAAATCTATTTCAGCTGTGCCAGCTATCACAAGCTCAAGCTCTCGAGCATCAAATACTGATACAAGACGAGGATCAACAACTTCATAAAACCCTCTAACCAATGAGTCTGTTTGTTCTGAAACTCCTCGTTCCAGCCTCCACCGCACAACTCTCTCCAAATAGTCCTAAAATTTTAAAAGAAGGACATTTAATCAAACAATTTTCTAAAATTGTAACATTTTTTTAAAGTTTCTTAAAATTTGACCAAAACTTACCTTTTTATTAGCTTCACTAACTGTCACATTACGACCTCCAGGTTTAAGCTCTCTTTCCACCACTTGTCCGAATACTTCCTCTGTCACAGCAAATGTGAGGTCCAATACCTCAGAGGAAATGTCATTTTCTTTAATCCACAGTAAGCTTTGATGGAACTCTGCATCAAGTGACTCCAAGTCACTAAGAGATACTGGTCTGTAATGAAAAAGATATAAGTAAAAGAAACCAATCATGAAAGGATGGTAAAAACCAGAAAATACAAAAGGGTTGAAATAAGTATTTTACTTACAATCTGAGAAGTGCTTTGTAGAAAGGGCGTGTGAAAAAGGCATCCAGCAGGTATTGATGAACCAAAGCCAGCCCTAAAACACGGCCACTAAACCTAAACCTACAACAAAAGGAGAAAAACATGTAAGAAAGAAAGTCCACTAATAAGGTTAATAAATGGAAAAAATTAGATGGCCATGTTTTGGTTTAAAACAGTTGGCAGGGGACACTTACCATTCATGATGGTTGTCAACAAATGCAGACATGGGCGACACCTGAACTGTGTATGTGTCATTGGCAGAATACTCGAAGAGGCCGTAGTAAGGATTAAAGAGCTCCCTCGAAAGCAAGAAAAAGAATTCCCTGGATGGGCCTCCATAATCAAGACCTTCCTCTCGATCAAAGGTTATGTAAAGTTTACATTTCTGAAGATCTTTCTTTGAGGCCGCCATTATTTTACTAAAAGCATCCTCGAGGAGGTGATCGCGTCTAATGTGCAACCTGCAAAACAAGAAAAAACAAATCAATAATTGGGCAAGGCAAATAAAAATGTAAGGCCTCTATTAAAAATATACAGAATTCAAGAATAAAGGCATCCATTGGGTGCTTTGGATGCACTTACTTGAGCTTCCCCGGGCCCTGGCCGTATCCCTTGGACTCCAGCTTCCGGTAGAAGTTCCTGAGCTTGGCCTCGAAGTCCCTGCGGTAGGGCGCGGGCGCCCTGGCGTTGGCCCGGGACAGGCCGGGGCTAGCCTGCGGCGACAGTTGCGGAGACCGCGCGTTGGACGGCACGGCGGGCACGTAGCTCATGATCTCCTGCTCGAACAGGCTGCAACAAACAGGACAAGCACGTCAGACAGTGTGTCGATGACCGCCGGAGTGTTAGGCAACCCAACGCACAGGCGCGGCCGCCCGGCCCCGCCGCCTGCCCGAGGTCGGGTAGGCAACCCAACTGACAGACTGGGTTCCAAGGCCGGGTTCCAAGGGACGGACGGCTCGGAGACAAAAGCGGGTGGCTCGTCCCGTCAGTGTCGCGCCCTTCGAAAAGCCTCGACTCGCAGAGCACGGCACAGAGCCTTGAAAAGCTCTGCTCCCCCGCCCCCACGGCGACACGGCGACACGGCGACCCGGACCGCCATTTACGTGCAAATCGCATCGCATCGCGCAGCACGGCGCGCCCAGGCCGGCCTCTGCCACGCCTGCGACGCCATTCGAGCTGCAAAGCGTATGCAAACAAACACCGGCAAAAGGCCCCGTCCACCCGTCCTACAGGGTGCAGTGCAGTGTGTGTGCGGGCCGGGCGGAAGGGCTGGACGCCGACCCCCAAGCCCCGGCGGACGCCATGGAGGGCATGGCGGCCACACGGGTGCGAGAGAGGGTAGCCGGCAAGAAGGGTTCAGGCAATGACAGGGCCCGGCCGCCCTGCCGCCCTGCCGCGCCGTGCTATAATTCGACGTAATGGCCTACGCGCTACAGGCTGGCCGAGGAACCCGAGGCCCCAAATAAATAAACCACGACATCGGCTGGCAATCTGGCAATCTAGCAATCCGGCGATGGGCGGGTAATGGGCGGAGGCGCGGCTACCGACGTCGCCTTGCCGCCCATTTCAGTGCGCGACAGTGCCGAGGCAATGCCGAGGCGGGGGCGGCACTAAGTGCGGACGCCGTGGCCACCACACCGCGAGGGTGACGTCACATTCCGATTCCGATTGAGATTCCAAGTGCGGCGAGTGACGCCACGCGGCGCAGTCAAGTGCAGGCGACGGCCGGGACGCCTCGCGCACCGCGGCACAGCGGCGCCGCCTGTGTGAAGTGAGCGGGTAATCATCCAACGGACCGACACCGACGACGCCACGGACGGACGGACGCATTGGGAAATCGTACGTAGACCCCGCAGCGCGCCGCAGCGCGCCACGCCACGCGTGGGGCCAAGGGCCGAAACCAACAGACACACAGACAGACAGACAGACAGACAGACAGACAGACAGACAGACAGACAGACAGACAGACAGACGGACGGACGCCACGAAGGGGGAAAAGGGCGCGCGCATTTCGGCGCGACAGCCACAGTTTCCAGTGCAGCGGTCACGTCCGCCGCACCACACCCGCTAGTACGCCGCTATGAGAGAATCGAGGCACTGCGCCACCGCCACCCACACGCCTTGCTTCGCCTTGCTTCGCCTTGCTGCAAGGCGCAGGGCGCAAGGCGCGTGCCCCCGGGTGTAAACAAACAGGCCGCAAGGCCCGCCATGCCCGTCCTCCTCAACGTCCTGTCCCGCGAGGCCGCGACGCAACACGCACACACATCGGCCATAAAAAAGGGCAAGGCACCGAGGCGCAGTGCGCTGCACCCGATCGCGCACGCCCCGCTCGGAGTGCAGGCGGACGTGCGAGAGAGAGAGAGAAACGAGGCCGCCGTCGCCGAGGCTCGAACTCCAGCCCGGAGAGCGGCCACACGACGAGCTCGACGACGGCGGAGCGAGGAGCGTCCGCGGCGGTGCGCCGCGCTGGGTAGGCAACCCCCGCGCCGGCGTGAGTTGGCGCGGCCCAGGCGCGCGGTGGCAGGCGCACGGCGCACGGCGCTCGGCGCACGGCGGTGGCGGAGTGGCGGCCCGGGCCGCGAGCAGGCCGTCGAAGCCGCGGTGCGCAGAGGCGGTGCTCGAGGCGCCAGCCCGCATCCAGCAGCCTTGGCGCTGCGGCCCCTGCGGCCAGTGCGCGAGTGCGGCCAGGCCTACGGCCAGGCCTACGACGGCCATCAGGCCATACGCGGCGCCAATCAAGGCCAGCCTGGAGGCGCCTAGAGGCCAGCCAGCCAGGGGATCAAAGGGGCAGGCCGGGCACACATAAAGCAGCGGCGCCGACCCAAGTGTCCGCGTGTCCAAGTGTCGGCGGGGCCGCACCGCGCCGCACCGTCAGGGCAAGGCGGGCAGGGCGCCTCGACGAACCAGCGCCGCCCGTCAGCTTGCGACACTCCGCGCGGGGTGGTCCCCGTCAAAGTTCCGAGCCCTCCCCGCGCAGCACGAGAAGGGCTTAGCCGACGACGCGGCTACCGCAGGCACTGCCAGGGCACTGCAGGCGGGGCGGCCGACTCGTGCGACTGCACAGCACACTGCACAGCAGGTGCGCGACGTCTCCAAATCCCCCTATAACAAGCGTCTCCGCGGAACGCAAACATATCAATGCAAAACGGCCGCCTCATCTGCATTCTGCTGCAGCACTGCAACAGCTGCAGGCGGTGCAGGCGGTGCATCCGCGGCCAGCTGCCGGGAATCCTCTGTCACCAGTGTGGGCACAGTGTGAGCAGCGTCGGGGAGGAGGGGGGGGGGCATACCAGCGGGCCGAAACCCCGCGCCCCGCGCCCCTGCAGAACGCAACGCGCAACCGCCTGCATGCAAGAGTAAGCACAGCAAGCAGACCGGCAGGGCCCGGCGCCCAAATAGACCCTTGTTGCACTTTTTTCCGTCGCTAAATGCGTAACGGGCCGGCAGGGCGGCGGCGCAGGGACTAGCAGGGACAGGGCGGCAGGGCCGCGCCCATCCATAAATGCATGCGGCGTGCGGCGAGGTATACGCCGCTCGCTCGTCGGGAAAGTGGGAAACGACGAGGAAGCGGCAAGGAAAACGGCGAGAAAAGCGGAGGGGTGAAAAGCGAACTGCATCCAGTCGTGCCGGTTGCACAGTGTGCGAGCGTGTAAACGCGTAAGCGGCGTCCACTCGGAGAGCCCCGTGGGAAAGAATGAATGGACGGCGCGGCGCGGAGCGGACAGCGGCAGCGCGATGATCGACGCGCCGCACTCGACTCGACGCGGAGCGCGGCGTGGGTGCGAGAGAGAAAGAGCGGCAAAACGCGCCGCGGGCCGGAAAAAGGCGAAGCATTCAAATGGCCGCGCCGCGTCGCCGCGGCTCGGCTCGGCTCGCGGGGGCGGCGGCGGCGGAGGGGGACAGAGATTGCGAGGATCTCTTAGTTAGTTCGTTTGCATTGCGGCCGACACGGCCGACGAGACGCGCCGGTCGCACTGGGCAAGCGCCATGCAAGCGACGATAAAGGCGCGGAAAAAAATATTTATACGAAAACGCGTCCGACTGGAATGAAAACACGGCGATGCGAGAAGCGGCAGGCCTGGCAGACCTGGCAGGCCGCTCGAACCAAGGTCCTTTCTAATTTCACAGCCAATTACACGTACGTACGCCCGTCCCGTTGACGCCGTGCGTCCCGCAGAGTGCTGCGCGGAGCACGCGCTGCACGCCGTGCGCGACGACGCCGCTGTTAGCACGGCGCGGCGGGGCTGTCGGTTTTCGGGTTTCCTTTTCCAAGCCCCCAATTTCGCTCCGTGTATCCATATGATAAATTGTGACCATATAAAGTTTAACGTATGGCTCTCGTTATCGCATGCACACCCACACAGAGTGTCCGGCTTTTGTCGCCTGTCCTTCGCGGGAACGCAACATCCGCCTGCAAATAAACGAGACGGCTTTCGCGGTGTGCCTCGATGAGTTCTATCGCACCGCCGGGCCCCGCCCCGCCCCGCCCCGCCCCGCCGAGATTGACACTCATCCTTTCGACGCACGCGGACTCACTCACACACCCACACCAAAACACACACGCACGCACGCAAAAGAAACACAAAACGCCAATCCTTCCACATTATCAGAAACGGGTTCGACAACCCCAGTAATTCACGGTGCAGTATCGTCGTGACGACAAGACGCCGATCCCGATTGTGTTTGACTCGATTACCCTCTGCGGCGACGCACGACATCTGCCTGACGGCGTCATTTCCATTTCAACTTTTTCATAAAAACGAAAAGTTTTTGAATCGCGCGCGATCGCGATCTCCACGAACACTTACACACGCACGCAGTGTGTGTGGGAGGAAGGTGGAGAAAAAGGGGGGGGCATAAATCAGCAACACGACGTCCTGTGATAAGGAGGCGTGACGGAGAGGAGTGGGGGGGGGGGGGCTGCTACCGGTACTACACACTCGGGCGCGCCGACTGCGCCGACCGGCGGGCAGGTGCACAGGAGCGCGCGGTGAGAGGTGAAGGGTGGCGGGGCGGCGAGGCGGCGAAAATCCGTTGCCGCGAACCAACTGGACGGCAGCAGTGCAACAACAGTGCAACGACTGCTGCGCCACTGCTGCGTTGCTGCGTGCACTGTGTGCTCTTCGCCTCGACTGCGTGCAGGCAGGCCTTCAGCTCCAGCCTGCTGGCGTGCCGCGGTGCCCGCCCGTTCCCTGTCCGGAGACGGGATGGTGGGATGGACACTGGACGGGGAGGATTGTCTCCTCCGGCCAAGGACGACCCCAAACCTACGGTGCGGTGCCCCGGTGCCCCCCACTCCCCCGCCCTCTCCATCTTACCTCGTCTCCTCCCTCACTACTACAGACAATTGGCCGTAGTAAATCAAAAGAAGTCGACACTGCTGCCTGTCAAAATGTCGAGCGGCTGCCTGGCTGCCTTGCCTGGCTGCCTGCCTCCTCCCTGACTGAACGTGAGTAGGACGAGGAGACGTGTCAAAGGCAGCTTTGCCTTGCTTTGCCTGGCTCGCCTTCACTCCGCGTCCTGTCATTGCCTCCACGGGCACGGCCGGTAGGGAGGCACGAGCTGCGAGGAGCTCATCCCGCAGCCAAAAGGACACTAGAGGGGCGTTTTTTTTTTTTCGAGAAAAAGGACGCCAAGGAAGGCGGTGGTGTGGCGGTCACTGGGCGGCCACGCCGCTCTCGGCTTTGGCACGCGCGGCCCAACTGCCCCCAGCGTGGCAACGCGGCCGACGCGGCCCTGATGCAGATGCGTGCGATGCGCGATGCATTCCCACTCAAGTGACAGGAATA